TATAGTTACATTCTCTTAATGAATAGAGGGATTTGTTCTAATGGTGTTTGTAAATGGGATATCATGTCTGCATCTTGTACAGCAATTAACCACTAGGGAGTATGTTTGCAATGTGTTAATTATTGAAACTGTCCTACCAATTTGGTTTAAAACTGTCTCATTGCTATTTGTTTCTCAATAAAATTATGGAAAAAATGTATAAATAAAAAAATAAAGGGCTATGATGTAGCTCAGTATTAAGGCCTGGAGTTAAATTTCCAGAGACATGCATACACACACACAGACACACAGACACACACACACACACACACACACTATACTCAACAGTCTGGTTACAGCTACACCCTGTATTTCCACATTCAGAAGTAACAAATAATACTTGAAAGAGTTGTTATTTTTTGTAGCAGGAATTGAATTCAGGGCCTTGCAGTTGCCAGGCAGGCACTGTGTTCCTGAGCCTTATCACTAGCTGGGAAGAATTCTTACAAAATCCTCCAAAGTAGAATGCCTCAAAACCAGATGTACTCGTGCACTAACATCTCAGGTTCCAGCAGACTAAAAGCCTTAGAGTCCCAGGAACAGAAGCCAGATGGGCTCAAATATTCTTGCAGAATACAACAGCCTAAAGTTGCAATATTTGCTTTGACTTGTATTTACTGGGTACCACTGTGGGCTACACGGAGACTTCTCCATAATCCACATGTAGGAGAATGACAAAGCAATGATGAGCATGGAATGCAGGGCACTGGCTGGGAGGAAAGTTAGGAGATGCAAAGGATGGGGCTGGGAGAGGCACACAGTGGAATCAATGGCATTGACAATTACAATACTTTAAAATCTGTGTGGCAGCTATATGGTTCTCTTACAAGCCTGCCATATATTTCATATGTAGAGAATAATAAAAAGCAGGCAAAAAAGCAGAGCAATATCCGAAATCCAGAAAACAACAAAAAAGAAGAAACAAACCAGGACTGGTGAGATAGCTCAGTGGACTAAGCATCTGCTTAGGCAAGTGCAGGGACTTGGGTTTGATCCCGGGCCCCGCATACTGCATCAGTCCCCCCAGGCACACTGAGACTGGGCGTGGTGGTGCATGCCTGTAATCCCAGCACTGGGGATTACATGCCTGTAATCACGTAGTTATCCCAGTGAGGAGGATCACTACGAGCCCAAGCTGCATAGTGACACCTCATACCAAATACATTAAAAAAAAAAAAAGAAAAAAAGAAACAAACAAACATACTATGAGGGCCATATCTTTTTTTTATAGTACTGTCTTAATCTATGTTTGTCTATCCTGTTACAAACTGTATCCTCATTCCCTCTCATGTGGACTGGTCCTGTGTGAGTGATGGGCAACGACTGCTGAATCGTTGGAGGGGCGCATGTGCCCTGCTCCTCCCTGCCCCTCATCTCTGATTTGGGGGCATACCTTGGATCCCACCTCAGCTGGATTCTATCTGTCAAGGTCTATAGGTCAGTGGACAGAAACTCCTGGGAACATTTTGTTTCTGCTCTGGTTCAGGACACAATACTGGCAGACAGACAGCTTGATCATTTAACATTGCTCTATTTCAAGCAAAATGTCCTTGTGTGATTTATTCCCAGCAACACCAACCTGTCACAGGGATCTTTGGAGTTAGCCTCTGTGGTTTGGTTCTGCCTTCCAACCACATTTCCTAAGTCTTTCACGGTCACCTCTGAGGTTGCTGCAGGTGCTAACAATCTCTTTTCTCAGCACAAATGAGAGCAAGGGTCTAGATGTAAAGATGCTCAAGATGTCAACATGGGAAGCTCAGTGTTAGCAGCTGAGTAAGGGGGTGAGAGAATGAAGAAGACTTTGCTGTCCTGCATGCTGCAGCTCCCCACTTCCCAGGGAGGGCATCCAGAGATGTGTGGCTGGCCTGCAGGCTGGAGGTGGGTGAGGATGAGGATGGATGCCTGCTGGTCTCATTGAAGCCAGTAACCTCCATGACTGCCCACTGGATGCAAATGGAGCAGAGAAGCACAAAGAGATTATTTATACCTGTGAACAGGGTCCGGCAGGCAGGTAGACTAGTATGCACGGGACTCCCTTCTCAGTCAGGGCCCTTCCTAGGCCAACAGCCTGGCAAAGGTGAGTGGCAAAGGTGTAGGGCAGTGTTGGGGAAGAGTCATGGACTTGCTTGTAGTGCTGTCAGGGCGACCTCTCTGGAGGCAGGAGGGCCATAATTCTGGGCCCTGGTCTATACTGTAGGGTAATAGTGAAGACATTTACCAACCAGTATGCCATAGGTAGTAGCCAGTCAGAATGAAGAAGGGCTTTATTGTAGAGGGCTTCACTATGTTAACTACTAGATGGTAGACGGATGGAGAGCATCTGGGAAGGACTGAGGTGTGGGAGGAGGAGAAACTTCAGGAAGCTCATGGCATCTGTGATTCACCTATCTGTATAGAACTGCTTTAATATTTTAACAGCCTTTGTGGCCTTATTCCTGTTGATTGCTAGAGCTGTCAGCTCAGCTACACAATATGAGAAAAATGGATTAAAGCCTCCTACTTCATGAGCTTCAGAGTCACTTGGGAAGCTTGTTAGGAAGACAGCTGCAAAGTTCCCATCTCAAAATTGGAGCATAAGATTCTCTAGGGCCTGGATTAGGCTCACTACATGTGGTGGAGTCAGTGCTCCCCAGAGCAGCCATTCTGTAAGGATCCAGTTCTAACTGCAGGGTTTATGATGGCCTGGGAGGAGTCTAGCATGCCACGTACAGGCAGGGGTCATGTGAGTGTGTGAAGCAGGGTGTGGGGTTGTGACAAACTGGTGAGTGTGTGTCCTTTTACTTGCAGCCACTTGGACCAGGCCCCAGGTTCCCTAGCTTGCTCAGGAGAAGCAGGCCTCATGTGGACAGGACTCTGACTTTTCAAGATGGGTTGGAAGTTCCTGAGCTGCGCATGGAGTCAGTCCTTCGTCTCACCAAGCCATAGGAGGCCACTGCTTCTAGTATTTCTGCTTTGGAATGCCAGTCTGTCCATGGCTGAAGGGCACTGGAGGGATGCTGACAACCTGAGCAAGGATCTTGATGCTGCCTAATGAGACCATTTCTTCCAACACGGTTGCTAGAGACTGACCTTAGCTGCTTGTAACCCTCCAGTTGGCCCCCTGTCCCTGGCACCTTTCTTTTTAAAATTTATTTATTTTTTTATATGTATGATTTTAAAGCAGAGGAATCAATAACCTGAAGTACAAATTGAATTCAGCACCTTTCTTAGCAACATGGAATCTGACCGTGGGGCAGAGGGGCACCTTTCCTCTGGTCTCTTGTGACTTAGCAAAAAGGCACAGCTCTCACAAGATGGGCTTTTCTCCTCAGACTCAAGGTGCTAAGCTTCCTTCTGGGATCCCTGGAATGTCTCACAGAGGAGCGGACTCCTCTGAGGACAAGGGAACTTGGCTTGATGGGTGCATTTAAATCCAACTCTCAGAGCTCCCCCTGGCTGCAGCACCATTTTCCCATCAACTTGCTTTTCTGGTTCTTGCTTGTCCTTCAGGATTCAGTTTAGCTTGTGGTCTGTCTCCGCAAGCTCACCTGTGCCAGGTTCTGTTTCGTGTCATAGTCTGGTAGCGTATGCTCTTGTTTTAGAATTTCCCACCTGAAATTCCAATGCCCTATTTTCTTTTCTTTTCTTTTCTTTTTTTTTTTTTTTTTTTTTTTTGCGGAACCAGGGATTGAACTCAGGCCCTTGCGCTTGCCAGGGAAGCACTTATTCCACTGAGCCATTTCCCTGGCCCCAAATGCCCTATTTTCTTAAAAACACCCAAGCCTAGCATTTGTTAGGTGTTCTTTGTGTGTCAGCACTATTTTATTTTTATTTTTATTTTTTAAAATTTTTTTAATTTTTGTGGAACTGGGGATTGAACGCAGGCCCTTGTACTTGCTAGGCAAGCACTTATTCTACTGAGCGATCTCCCTGGCCCCTGTCAGCACTGTTAAAATCACTTTGTATTACCTCAGTTAAACCTTGGAACAGTCCAGTGAGGCTGGCATTATTATCACTCCTGTTTAAGAAAAGAAGACTCTGAGAGGTTTAGCAGCTTGCCTGGCAGACATCACAAGGCCACAAAGTGATAAATGAAGATTCAGACTCAGTTTATGTACAGCAGAGCCTGCTGGGATCTTTGCTTCTGTGATCAAAATTGCACTAAGCTGCTTCCTGGCAGTGTGGAGCTAGTGCCCTAAAGCCAAAGATAGTCTTTTGGTTGAAAAGCTTTTTGTTTGTTTGTTTTATTACTAGGAACTGAGCTCATGACCTCATACTTGCCAGGCAGGCACTCACACTGCTTTGGTGTCTGACAGTTTGAGGCTGCATCCTTGCTCTGTTGTCTGTCTGTGGGTAGTTATTAAGCCTCAGTTTCTTGTGCTCTGAACTGGGGACAATTACAGCTGCTCTATAAAGTTTTTTTTTTTTTTTATTACATAAGGGTGTAGGCCTGTGGTCCTTGTTGCTGTGCACAGTGTGTATAGTAATGGTTAGAAACAAGTTGGTGGGATAAATGGATTAAAGGTGCTATTTTCCCTGGAAACAACATCCACTTGTCTGTCTCAAACATTCATAAAGCTATAAAGATGAGATGAGGTTTGGTTTGGGAGTGAGTCTGGTGCTAGCCATGGCTGAAGGGTCTGCATGGAGGGGGGCGACAGGCCTGGGATCTGCTTCTATTTCTCAGAAAGGTTGTCCTGTAGAGATGGTGGATAGCAGGGAGACTACTTCAATTCATGTTCCATTTCATAACAGGTCTCTGTCATACCCAAACAACCTGCTTGATAGTTACAAAGGTGAAGAATTAACTGGCTCCATCGCTACCTAGGCATGGACTACACTGTTAGTTGTCCGATACTGTATCTCTGCCACTGTTAGTGTAAAATGAGCTGCTAAACACACTAGTTTAAAAGGCTTTATGGGAGACGATGAGGAATAGGTACTCATATTTAGACAAGTTAAACCGTGTTTCTCTGTCCCTGTGTCTTTATGTCATTTCACCACCCGGTTGATTAAATGCAGTTCAGTGAAGCAGGAGTTGGCACGTTGATTCTGTGGCGTACGTGCGGGTCAGTCTCTCACAGAAACGCTAGGCCAGCACACTCCCAGGTTCACTCTGCTGGCCTCTGACACACCCTTTGGCAGGATTATGGTTTTGCTTTGTTCTATTAAATTCTGGAAAAGTCTACAGATAATTTAATGTGCCAAGTATGTAGATAGTTAAAAGATGTATTTGTATTTCCAACACCTGCAAGATCTATCTATGGGAAAGGTCTAATTAGGCCTGCATTTTTTTTTTTTTATGGGATCCAGTGTTAGTAGCAAAGGACATTTATGCATCAAAGTATCTACACTGATGAGCACACAATGAATGTTAAACCACAATCATTAAGTTTAATGAGAACGAATGGATTGTCTTACAGCACGGCCTTGGCTCCCTGCTATTCCCTTTCATGCCTGCTCACAAGGCTCTACCTGGCTGGTCCTGCCCACCTCAGCCCACTGTGCTGCCACCTCGTTTTGCCCCTTCCTTCTTACTCTGCTTGTTGGGAATATCAAAGATGCCTCCCACCAGCCAGTCTTTTCCCTTTTCCCTGATTTGTTCATTGTTCTGCTGCACTCTCATCCTTTCCTCTTTCACTCTTTCATATTTTGTTTTCACCCTCCCCCTTTCTCCCCATTTTCTCTGTGACCTGCTCTGCTCAGTCTCTTTGATAGCGTTCCTGGAGGAAGTACTCCCTCGAAGCCTTGGACTCCCGCACTCTCATTGACATTGGTGCCTTCTTGGGGAGACAGCTCATCTGCCCTGCAGCAGCAGTCAGGGAAAGCAAACATGTGACTGTGTAAACAAGAATGTATATCTGAACTGAGCCCCTATTTAAGGCTGTTTTTAAGCACACCATGTTTTGGGGGGAAGGTTGAATTAACTGTCCCGTAACACATATGTCTCTGTAGCTCTGTCCTTTCTGCTAATCTATTGTGTAAGATTACAAATTGGGAAAACAGATTGAGAAGATTAAAGTATGATAATTGGATATTTGTAGTCAACTTTCTTGCTTGGTATAAACTTGGGAAGTTTTAGTGAGTTAAAAATGTTCAAAGCATCCATCTCATACCAGGATTATAATTCTGTGGAGGTGTGAGTAGTGGCCAGCGTGCTGGCCTTAGAGCATGGTAGAAACATGAGGGGGAAAAGGGGATAAAATCACAGGCACAACCCCCAAAGTCCCACTGCTGCCACATGGGGTTGAAGCCCCTTTTAGGACACCACAGGAATTCTACACGGAATACAGAAGATGAGAAGCCACACTCTATGCTGGAGAACAAAGTGGACACCACAGTCCCCTCATCCTTGGTTTAATTGATCCATCGATCTGTTGTGTTCAGAAGGCCACCATATGCAGGGCAGGAATTCCTGCTCTCACCTTCCCGTTCCTGGGGATAAAACAAGCAGACCAAGTCCCTCAAGAATGGCAGGATGCTCTCAGTGGAAGCACACTGTATTTAAATGCAATTCACCTCTTTGGGGTCTAGGAAAAGCCACCTGTAGATTCATTTGCTGGGAAACGTGGTCTGTGTGGCTGAGGCACTGGGTACTGGGGTTGTGGCCTTGCCAAAGACTGACTTCCTTCGGTCTGTTGGCTGTCCGGAGTGGCTGCCACTTCGGTGGGCAAATAGGATGGTCATCTCTGGGCCCACAGGTTCAGGCTGGGGCCCCTTGAGGGTGGCTGGCTGTTCAGGCTTTCCAGAGGTGGGATGGGACGCATAATGCTTGGTGGGAGGAGGGCTGTAGTTCTGGAATCTCACAGTTTTTACTTGCTGCAAGAGAAAAGAGCAAGGGAACATAGGTGAGATATGGACTGTCAGCCCCAGGCCTGAGTTCAGGCTGATATTCTACGGCTGTCCCCATTCAAAAGGCCTCATCTTTGTGCTGCTCCTTCAGGACGTATTTGTGGCTACTAGGAGTGTGTGCTATGCCTAACAGACTCTGTTAGGAGCTGAGAATCCAGAAGTGGACAAAGGCAAACAGCAAACCTTACCAAGTGCCTGATGGGGGAAGCATCAGACACTGAGAACGCAGAGAAGATCCTAAGTTCAGCTGCAGTGGGCCGAGGCAGGGAAGGTGCTAGAGGCAGAGCCAGTCCCTGTCTTAGGGCTTAATCAAGTATTCTGTGGATGCTGGGAACAATTGCCTTTTCCATGAAATGCAATCCTTGTATTTTCAATTTTGATAGTCAAAAATTTCTTGATATGTTGTAATTCTCACAATATCTAGCTGGGGCCTGGAAGCACACTAAATGCAGTTTGGGGACTATGTCTAGTAACTCGGTTTATTGGGCAGCTTTACTGGAAAACTTGATATTACTGAGTACTCTGAGTCAGCATGAGAGCTCCCAACACTTATATCCCTCACAACCTTTTTTTCTAAATGCCTTTTCCTATGAACTTATAGCTTAGTGTTAAGAGCTGAGTTTTTGTATTAGGTGCGGATTCCTCTCCAGACACTCTGTGTGCCAGCTGTGTGGCTCTGAGGCTTGCCCCTGTGCTCCCGAAGGCTCCACACTCTTATGTTAAAATGAATATGAAAATGATACCTACTGCAGAGGGTTGTCATCAGGATTAACAGAGACGGGGCATGTGAAGCACTGGGCACAGTGCCTGCAGGTTGTTAGTATTCAGGAAATGCTTAACAAAGAGAAGGAAGCTCTATTTTTTTCTTGTCATGGAGAGAATGGGCGATGGTAGCCCAGTGGTGGTGATGGTGGCGGTGACATCACAGTAGCAGGGGTGCTCAAAAAACCCAAAGATTAAAAACAAAAACAAAAACTGAAAGATAACAATGAGCATCATCTAATTTTCTTAGTGTCATGTCTTCCCTTCCAGATCCTTCTTGCTGCAGGGGCATTTCAAAATCCTTATCTCCTAGTGCATAAAGGTCTGCTTAGGAGTTAATGGGCCTGACCTCTGCCACAGAGGTTACAATACATTAGCTGCTGGAGTTGTCCTTGTTCAGTATGATCTTGATAGTACTTAGAGTCTCCTGTGTCTCAGTTGCTCTTTGACATAATGAATGCTTAATTATGTGTCAAGCCCCATGTGAGCACATTTCACACAGTGCATCATTTAATCTCTCCAACCTATGTGACTATTATTATTCTTACCTCCCTTTTATGGATTAGCTAACAGGAAGTTCAGAAGGATAAAGCATCTTAGTCAAAGCCAGCCAGCCAGCAAGTAAGTGCAGGGCTGGAATTCAAATCAAGATTTGTCAGATACCAGCATCATGTTTCTTCCAAACCCCTAATCCCTAAATGATGAATGGATGAAGTACCTGAGAGGCATAAGAGGGAGTAAGTAGTGTGTCTTGGGGGGGAAGGTGGAGTCGTGGGAAGATTCTTGTGTGGCTACACCTCTGAGTCCTTGTCTAACTGACCCTTAGATCTCAGGAGCTGGGGCAGTGTGAACAGTTGTGGGCACTAAGGAGTCAAGCTCTCCCGGGCCTTCCACTCCTACCTTTTCAATACCATTCCTTGAGTTTTCTGGTTTCACTAGGATTGATGGAGGGGCAGATGCAGGTGGTTTTGGTGGAGGTTCACTTTTGGTGGGGACTTCCTTGCCTTCCATGATGAGGGAACTGGCTGCTGAGTGGATCCTGGATTCGCTGCCTCTACCGATGCAGGTGAGGACAGGTTCCCCAGTGGAAGCAGGCTTGGGCCCCATCTCCAGAGACAGGGAGGATGGTACCCCCTGTGCCGCGTAGAACTGGAAGTGCTGAGGCCCGGCTATCATGGTAGGGCTGCGTCTGAGAGAGCCCATCATGAGGGTGGGGATGCCAGACTGGGCTGGTCTCTGCAGCGATCCATCTGGGGGATTATAACAGAGGTATCAGCAAGGGGGTAGAGGATGGAGGCAGGGTTGGGGCTGGGTAAGCAGTGTGTCCTGATAACCTGAGATAGTTAAGTACTTCCCTAATTTGACTGTGCTCACATGCTCCCAGGATCTTTCTAAAGTGATCTTATTCTTTTTTTAGTGCTGTTTGCTGATGCAGTTAGCAAATAACTGGCTCACTGAATGGTGTGCAGGTGTGTCAGAGGTATATGGCTTCTAGTTGGCTTCCCTCTGTGTTTCTGTCTCACTGTCTTACACACACACACACACACACACACACACACACACACACCAACTCTCTTCTAGGCCTTTTGACAGAGAGAAAAGAAGAGAGACACAGGCTACCGTCACAGTGAGAAGCAGACATAAAGGTAGGTAGACCATAGAAGAAATAAGAGACAAATAATAGAAATTAAGAAACATGAGAGATAGACAAGTGAGAAAGACAAGAGGGAGGAAAAGAGAGGAGCATAGAGGAGGAGTCTAATGTGCTACTTGCTGAAGAAAGTTCTATCAGAGCTTTAGGCATGAGATGGGGGTGCTCTATTTGGAGGGGTGCCTGCAGGGGGAAGGGTGAGTGGCAGTGACTGCGTGGGTGCTAGACAGGCAGGATACCAAACAGGCAAATTTGAAAATATTATTTCAGAGGTAGGGCTGTGTGCAATGAGCTCTAGAAAGCCTCACCATAGACTCTGTCCTAGACTCTGCCCCAGGGAGTCCAAGACAAGGATGTCATAGCACCATCCTGCCCCTCTGTTTTCTCATGTGTAAGCTGGAGATAGTCACAGGACATCATGGGGCAGGTGAGGGTTACAACTTGTCACTAATACGAAGTATTAGTGTTTGGAACATAACAGACACCCTGCTTATTAGCTATCCTTTATTTTTGGGTAATGGGCAGTGTATTTTAACAATACAAAGTCCAGGAGTCTGTTTTTGCCCTTTTTTGAACTTATTCTTTTTTTTTCTTTTTTTCTTTTTTCTTTTTTTTTATATGGGGCTGGTCCTCCTTAAGTAAGAGGAAACCATAGCTCTCCTGAAATCCTCTAAGGATAGGAGAGCTCCACCTCATCCTAGGGATGACCTGGGAATCAGAGGCTCACTGCATTCTGGGGGGAAATAGAGGACACACCCCTGAGAAACACTGCAGGCCATTTCTTAAGCGTCTCTACTCACAGAGTCTTAAGTTACGACCCAGCCAGAGACCACAAGTGACTTCTGACACACCACAGACACGTATTTGACTCAGAGTCAGTTATGTCTAGCACTGAAGGCCAGATCCAAGGCCACAGTCCTCACTGTGACTCTTTGTCAAGCTGGATGGGAACATGAAAAGTGGGACACTTCCAAGCCACAGTGGGCATTTTCAGCTGTGCCAAGCAAGCCCATCACCATTTGCACAAGCCTGACCTTTCAACTTAGACATTTATTTTTCCACTGACAGCCCTGTGAGGTGCACACCATCAATTCTGCTGTCATTTCTCTTTGCTTTGAGGAGATTAATAGCTTGGCCAGTCTTACCTCAGGAAAAGAGAGAAGGAGGAAAGCCTCCAGAACCTAGGAAGTCAAAGCAACAGTGGGAAGACACATCTGGGGCTTCCATAAAAGAATGAAAAGTTGGCCCATGCTATCTATCTCATTGGTTTCTTATTTTCAAGGATTCAATACTTATTATATGTGCATATAATCCAAGCAGTCAAAGCTCTAAGTCAATCAAGATTTATGTGGAGATAGAGAAGGAATTTATAAAAGAAAAGTGTGATCACTAACAATGGCTGCGAAGTGAGTATTATTTTTCTTTCCACTTTACGAATGACAAAAGGTTAGTAACTGGCTGAGGGCTGTTGTGTGCACAGAGCCACCTTGGTTCACAAACTCCATTCTTGTCATGACTGGTCACAAGCTGAACTCTCTGAGAATCAAACTTCCCTGTAAGGTCAACATCAAACCTAACCATGAATGTGATTCTGTTCTCATCCAACTCAGTTGGAGATCAGAACTGTGGAAAGAATGAAGTTTGTGAACCAAGGCACCCACACTCCTTGTTTTGTGTGTGTGTGTGTTGAGGGGTAGGAGGTTCCATTAGGTGAGCTAGGTGGCCAGAACTGTACAGTGACACTGGTGGTCAAACAGGTGTCAGATGAAAACACTGGGACTGTGTACTGTGAAGATACTTTTCTTTTTCTTGGAGAATTTTCATGCATGGAGTCTTGCCCTGCATGTTACCCTTGTGCTCTAATTAGTTGCGCATCATTTTCCTATTTAATCATTCATTAAGATTGCAAGAGAGAGCGCAGAACCGTGTTAAATGCAGGGAGAATAGAATAAATCTTATTTACTATACTTGGCTGATTATAGAGGAAGAAGACTTGAATTTTTTAGAACAGTTTCAAACATTCTTTAGAATCCTTCAAAATAAAATTTTATGTAGAAATTATCAATACATTGAGATGAAAACATTTCCTAAAATGACAGGTAGATGCAATATTGATATTCTGTGGGGAAAAATACAAGCAAGGTGTAGAACACTGTGCTGAGCATAACTAACAGGTCTATCTGCCTATCTATCTATCTTACTAACTACTGAAAACTTCTGAGGGCTAAAGTTGTGATAGCCACTAGCTTTTGTACATTTTTTATGCTATAACCTTAAAAAACCCTATGGATATATTACATAAAAAACAATGGGAGTCAGGGGCTCTGAGCACTGCTTCCTTGATTCTCATTTTCTGCCTCCAGCTCTTGCCCACTTAACTCCTGGGGACTTCCCTGGAGTATAGTTTGAGAAGCACTGACCCAGCAAAGGCTTTGCTCAGTCTGTTTTCATAAGACCAGCATCTACCTTGGCTGTGCTCTAATTACCTGTCGGTATACACAATTGCTCTCATCCTTGTTGTTCACCCCAAAGGCAGGAAGCAATCCAGGGCAGCGACCTTCAGTAAGTGCGGCTCCAATATCATAATTCTTTGGGAATTACAATGCACCCTTCACACAGGGCTATCCCAAAGCTAAGACTGCTTTTGTCCAAAGCACCCTGTGCACCCCAGGGTTGGGCCCCATTACTTAACTCTAAGCACATACCTCTCTGCCACCACTTACTCTTTCTCATGCTGTTCCGCCCTTTCCGGAAGGACCCTTGTGCTAGAGCTCCTGAGCCGGCTGTGTTCTTCACAGGGTTGACTATGGCCGTGGGCACAAAGACAGATTTGAAAGTTTGGCTTTGCCGGGGCACACCTTCTGAAACGCTGCCTTGGGATGACACAGAAGAGGTGGACAATGTCCATGTAGTGTAGAGACCAGGGCTCTGGGAATCTGGAAAACTAGAGGCCTTTCTGGTTGTTGAAATTTTTTTTTTTTTTAAGAGAAGAAACAAGAAACAGAAAAAGAAAATATTCAGTCAAGAGTCCTATTAAAAACAAAGTCAGCTCTTTGTCATATATCAAAATGTGGCTGCTCTTCAGCCTCTTCCTGTCATGTACCCTTTCTGAAACTACAGACCTAAGTGGGTCGTGCCTCCCAGCTGTTGATGCTGTATGGGAGTTCTGAGGGAAGGGAGAGGGGCTCATGGGGAGGCCCTGGTGGAACTGGATGACTTGCATTTCGTCTTCTCTGCAGCTCTGATCACTCCTCACTGCACATCCCTTCACCCTTGAGTTCAGAGCCTAAGACCTTGCATTTACTCATTTCATTTTACAGTGGCAATCTCTTATTCATTCAGTGGCTGTCCCACTAGATCCTAAGCTACCGAAGGCAGATTTTACATTGCTATCTTTTTTCCTCTGTATATGGCATATATTGTTGATTAATGTCTGTTGAATGGCTATCATGATGCCACTTGATGTGGCTTCTTAAGTGTAAGGTAGTACTGTTAGCACCACTACTTTATACATGAAAAAATACAGAGATTTACACTTACATACTCAAGCAACTGCTAGATTGGGAATTTGAATCCAGCTCCTCTTCCCTTACCACTGAGTTAGCTACACCACCTTCCTGGCTGGTTAGAGCATTATTTGGTAGCAGGGAAACCCCTTTATCCTGACTGAAATCAATGAATTAAAGCAGCCTACAGCCCTTGCACATGCCTTCCTAAGCTTTTAATTTAGTCATAGGCTGCAATTTTCAAGAACATTATTAAAGTTTTATAAAACAACAATCTCTTGTTCATTGTTTCCAGCCTGCAACTCCTTGAACTTCCAGGAGAATGGTTGACATTTTACATTTTCTTTCCCTCTTACCAACTCAATCCCAAAATCACCACTTCTATCAATCACCTTGGTATTCCACTAACTCCCTGGGAATGATAAACTCAATCAAGATCCTACACAGAAAGGCCCTCATGATTTCCCTCTTGTCAATGCCTGCAGATTTTCCTCTCTTGTCTCCTCTTTCCTCTTTTTTCTCCCTTTTTTATTAGAAGACAATGTAGTTTAATAATGAACTACTGCCATATGAAGATAGTGAAAGTGGCACTTAATCATGGCTAGTGCTTCCCAGGATGTATGTAGCCAAATGCTCTCAAGAACTCATGCTTGCAGAAAGAGTCTTCCATCTGCCTCTGCTTCCTGTGGTGGCTGGTATCACTGAAGAGGGCAGGACTTTCCACCCATCTATATTCTGGAGATGAGGCCTACACAGGGAAGAGGAATCCAAACACTGGCTTCCATGGCAGACTGAAGATGATCTGCCTGTCTCTTGAACAAAGGCCTCCAGAAGCAGGAAGCTACAAAATGGATTAGCAAGATGAAAGACTGGTTCCAAAACTGTTTCCATCACCAGCAGCAGCAAGGACAGAATACCGCTAATTAGGCCCAAGCTAGCCTTATTCTACCAGTGCCACCTTTAAATGGCTGTTTGAAGACTGAGGTATGACTATTTTTCTTAGCCAAGGATTGGGCCAGACTCCAGGAACTCCTAAATCCCTTCTGCTATCCAACACTGAGTCCCTCTATGTCTTTTGGCAAAAAGCTTAGCACTTACCTAACACTTTCTACCAACATCAAAGTACTTGCTAACACGTATTAATTAATCCCCATGAAGACATTATGACCCTTATTTTCCAGAGAAGACTGAAAGATGTCTGGATATAAGTAGAAGGATGCAGATGTTACTTCTGATTTGCTTCACTAAGCAGGCCTCTGTGTTTTTTTCTAAGTCTTATACTACCTTTCCCAAAATTCAAAAGGGACATTATAAGCAGCAGCTCTGCTGGGTCCACCAGTGGCAGCAGCCTCCTGGGAAGGAGAAAGGTCAGATGATGGCCATCTTTAAATAGTCTGTGTATACTGCCCAAAGCCAAGGAGTCCTTCCATCATTTTTCTCTACCCATAGGGTACCAGGTACACACCTGTCTGTCTGTGAAGTTTGTAAGAAAGAGAAATATCCTGGCTAATTAGGCAGAAGGGAATTAGTAATTTGTTGGGAGGCCCGGAAGGGGAGGAAAGAACTTGAAAATGGAACCCAAGGAGGCTTCAGAAGGTTCAGCAAAGACATCTGTCGCAAGAAGTGTGGCATCAGGTGTTCTTCCTGGTGCTTTCATCATGATGGTGCTTTCATCAACTTTGCCTGCATCCTTTCCCCCCTTGCAAGCCTCGAAGTTCTAAGAGGAAATATAAGCTTGGCTTGGCTTTATCCTTAGCTACATGCTTAGGTGCAAGGGGAAGAGGATTTGTTTCCTTTTGCCTTTGAAAAAGGAGGAAAGATCTGCCTTCCCCCAGGACTATGTAGAAGAGGAGGCGCAGGGGATGTTGGTGCTGTTAAGAAAGGGTTGGATGCTGGACAGAAAAAAATGTGACAACTGCTTGGTACAACCTGAACCCACAGATGACTTTAGGATTGGACAGTAAAGATTTAGTTGTCAGGAAGAGGTAGCCAGGTCGGAGTCCATTCTTAAGAGTGCTGGAAAACACAGTGGCACAGCATTGTGAGACTTTTTTGAGTCACCCTAGTTAAAGAATCACTTTCTGAATCCTAAGTATGAACCCTGGCATTTTGGCCAATTCTGGTTGTAGTTAATTTCCAAACTCAGGCTGGCTCAGTTCATTCAGGGATGATAGTAAGAGTAGAGATTCCGATGCTTGGGATCCACCCCAAATATCTGACCCTATTTCATAAAAGTTTGTAGTGCACACAAAAGGGACTGGGAAGCAGTGCAGAAACAGCACTGTAAACAAAAACAAAGACAAGAAAGACAAAAGCCCACATAGAATCACAGAGCAGAAAGGAGCTTTGGGTAGGTAGCCCAACCCACTAAGTTCTCACACATAACTTCATAATAGCAGTAGGAACTCAGCTGACAAAGGACAGCATTTTCCATCCCTGAGAATTGGAGAGAATGAAACTTCCCACAGTGGAAAGAATGGTTAAGAACCAATGGTTAAGGCTTAGTTAAACCCACATAGACAAATAGGGTATGTAACATTCATGTCTAAGGTTAGGATGGGAACTTTTTTGTATCAGAAAGACCATCAAAAAAAAAACAAAACAAAAAACAAAAAAAACCAAAAACAAAACAAAAAACCATACAAATGCTGAGAAAGCATTGGCCAGTCTACTTATGGACTCCAAACTTTGTGTCACCTAGTAACCACTAGGAACATGCTCCTGACAAGGACTTGTTTGTTTTGGGAATGCACTTTCATCATAAGGAATATTATGCCTGAACACTAGCAGCAGCTCAAGATACACAGATGTTCTGATTTCTTTGAGTACGGAGGAAGGTGTAGACTCAATGGCAACCCTAGGGTGCCCAATCTCCACCTCCGTCTCATATGCAGCTGTCTTGGAGTGAATGAATATAGATGCTTATGACTTGTCTACAAGCACTATTAATCTACCCAGGAGAAAACATCAGGAGAAAAGTGGAAGTGAGAGCCAGATATATGCTGAGATAGAGGCGTACATGCTTTCTAGTGGGTGTGACCACACATCCTGATTTCCTAGGAGGGGTTCAACTTATACCTGCTTAGAAATGTGGTAGTTTAGTTTAGATGATAAGACATATGATCACTCTTATTCTAGTGTTTTTTTGATGACATAAACAAGATTTGGGGTTAAAGTATGCTGTATAAGCAAATGCCCCAGAAGTAGGCATGGATCCTAGGCAGCTCCTGTCAGATCCCACGTTCCTGAGTGAAGGTAGGCAAGTCCTTGGTTCTCACTCTCACTTCTGAATCATCCCTTGTGCTCCTCAGTACTTCTCAGCTTTGATTCACATTATCAGATGCCATCATCCACCACCCCATCTTGTTCCAGTCACCATTCATCCTCTAGCTCTGTCTTTCTCACCTGGAAGACTTTATAGGCATTGGCTTCCTGTCAGTCTCTTGATACGACAGATCCGCCATGATGATCTCATCAAGTCTTAGGGTTGAAATTCCATCTTGGGCTTGGAGCTGTCTCTTATATGCTAGACAGGTCCACTCAATTGCTTACCAATATCTTTATTTGGATTAAGAGTAGGCATCTCAAGCTCAGTCTCCTGGAACTAAGGCATTTGCTTCCCCCATATCACCCAGTTGGCTTTTCTTGTGGTTTTCATCAGCACCATTTCACTAAAGGCAACTTCATGTCACACTTAATCAGGGCAAAACCTTGAATTCACATTCAATCCTGTTCCTTAACAACTTGATGTTTTATCTGTTAGAGATTCTCATTGCTATTAACTTCAGAATATTTCCAGGCTCTAACTTCAGAATATTTCCAGGATCTAACCACTTCTAACTAGGTCTGCAGTGTTAGAACATCACCCTTGTTCAACTCAGTGTCACCTCTCCCCAGGATCATTACAGTACACTCTTCACTAGTTTCCTGTCTCTACCCTTTCCTCTGTACAATATATTTTCAACAGTACCTACAGAGATTCCCATTAAACATTAGTTAGATCATGTCACTGTTGTGTTCAAAATGCTGCAGTGATGTTAAAATCAAATCCTTGATTATAACCTAGGACATTCTAGGTGAGTTGCCCCCTTTCCGTTTAGGCCACACCTCCTGCTGGTCTACCCATGTCTCCTTACTTACTTTGATCCTGTTGGCTCTCATGTCAGTGCACTGTGATCTCAGGGCCTTTTTTTTTTTTTTTTTTTTTTTTTTTTTTTTTTTTGCAGAACCAGGGATTGAACTCAGGCCCTTATGCTTGCCAGGCAAGCACTTATTCTACTGAGCTGTCTCCCCATCCCTCTCAGGGCATTTTCTTTGCTGCTCCTTTGGCTTAGAAAATCCTTCCCCCAGAGACCCATCTGGGTCATTTCATTTCCTTCATTCCTCCTTCTTTCAGTAAGCCCATCCTTGGCCAGCCTCTCTGAAATTGCAAAACCCTCTGACACATACATTCTATCTCCCTTTCTTGACTGTCCTTTTCAGCCCTTATGAAGGTCCTATAGATCTTGTTTATCATCTCTCACAGTAGACTGTAAGTTCCTGTGAGTAGGAATTTTGCAAATTTTGTTCAGTAGTATTTCTCCAATGTGACAAAAATATCACACCTGACTACATGTGATATTTGTTGAAGGAATGCAATAAAATATCAGTTATAGATATTCTTAGTTTGCCTTTGGATACTTTTCAACTTTAAAAAAAATTTAAGAACATTCTGTAACTATCCTCTTCTACTTCAACTTTCTGCCATGTAAAGGAATCTTTTTCTATAATCCTAGATTTATGGGGACCTGGGCTTTGTGTGCATTCTTCCTAGAAGGAGGTTCTCTACATTACTATCCACCTGGGTTGGAAAATTCCATGGGTTAGAAAATGTAGCTTTTATTGAACTATAATCTAACTTGTATCCCCCAGCCTATTCTACTATCTCCTTCTGAAACAAATCTACCTCCAGGTTTACACAGTCTCTTAGAAGCCCTCTGTGCCTTGTCTTTTACAGGTGAAATAAGCCTAGTTTTTTTTTTTCATGACTTTCTCCAGTGACACAGTTTACTGTTTCCTCACCATCTTTGTGGCCCTCCTCCTGGCAGGGTCTGGCCTCAGTGAAGATCCCCTAATGTCCACATTGACACTTGGTCTGACCACTAGAGGTTACAATGGGCCTGTTACTCTCCCTGGTGTTCTGACCCCCTGGTATGTCATAAAGACAGTGTTTGGTGTACAGTGATGGCTTTGCTCAGGTTGAGGGAGATGGAGGTAGGAGGAGTCATGGGAAGCTTGGGGGTCTGTGTGCATCTGTGGTCGTGGTGTGAGGTGGCAGGATACAGTGTGCATCAATGAAATTAATAGATATGCTGCAGAATGAAAAAGGATGGGGAAAGTAGATAGGGGAAAGGACCTGCAGAGTAACTAGAATTATTCTAGGGGTATGGATAAACATTGAGTGGTTTGAGTTCATGGAAATTATGCCTAATGGTATAGTATCCTGAGAACCATCCTAGGGGATCTGGCTAGGTTATCTGATTCACTATCTAGTTATTCCACTAGATGGAGTGTTGAGGTGTAGGATGTGAATGTGGAACTTGTGAGACTTATACAGAAGCAAACCTGAAATTTATATATATATCTTAGAAAGTTAGGATAATAGGGCAAAGCCATGGTCTTCATGACTTTGACTGACAGGACCCTGGTGTACAATGACCCAATGTACTGACGGCTGTGATTGGAGGGGACGCACCTGAAAATAGGGATGACGTAGTTGTTTGGGAAGATGCCGACTCGCCCAGTGACCAAGGAGACACCCCGCAACCAGCCATCCTGGTACTTCCCCAGGACCCTGACGCCTTCTCCCTTCTGCAGGTCCAGCTCATTAGGTCCATGGGCTGAGTAGGAGTGCAGGGCTACAAACCTGGGAGACACAGGGAACCATGAGGGAAGAAAGTGAGCATGCCTAGTGGATGGCACACTGCCAGTGGCACAGGTAGAAATGCATCCCGGAGCCTTCAACTCAGTGTCTAGCAAGAAAATCCTTTAAAATTTTGAAACCTCAACATGAAGGCAGGTCAAAGTGGAATACTGTGGTTCAAATAGCAGTGGAGGTGAGACGGTCCCTGCCTTCTCCACCTCTAGCTCCCTCCACATAGCACTACACAGGGGCTAACCACTAACTTGGGCCAATATTGGTGCTTTAACAATGGGAAAACATATGGAGAAAATTTTGGTGGCAAACAGTAGTGACAGAGATGGGTCTCAAACCTACAAGCAGGGGTCCTCCTAGCACACTTTTTCACTGCTGTAGTCTGTTCCTCAAGAAGACACAGTTAACAAGGCTCAGGGAAATGAGAGGTCAGCACAGATGTCTCTCTGACCCATTCCTACAAGCGACATCGGGGACAGGTTTGGTTTTTAGGAAGGGGTAAGGAGCTAGCTGAAATAGAGACATGTACATTGTGAAGTGGGAAGCAAGGACTGATTTTTTTTTTCTTTTTTTGGTCACACAGTAGAACATCAGTTCTAAGGTAGGATGGAGGGCAGTGAGCTTATAACAAACATGGTAAAAATCCTCAAGTTAGACTTTGTACTCTAAAGCCTTCATAAAAATCACACAGGTGACAACCAGGTGTGAGTCAGGGGAGTAAAGACAGCAAGTAACAGTGAGAATGGCAGTTGCATGAGTGTGAACGGCTGCCAGGTTGAAAAGAATAGGAAAATAACCAGCTTGCCTTGTTGGGTTCGGGGGTCACCAGACTATCTCTTGGGATAGATACCAGCGAATCCTTCTAGATTCTAAAGACAATGAGACAGCAGGATATTTTATCTAAGTTAGGAGTGTGTTCTCATTTACAAGTTTTTACCTTCCGTACACACTGCATTTTTTGCTGATTATGAAATCAACATTATTATGAGCCAACATTTGAATCTAAAGACAATAGAAATTGCTCAATATACAATCTTGCAGTGATGTTATGATATATAATCTTGCAGTCTCTTTCTGCTTTTATAAAACAATAAACTAGGATGTTGTGGTTTTCTAATTTTCATTTTTCATCATTACTTCCCTTGGTAGTATGAAGGGAAGTACAGGTGTCTTCTCTCAGGAGGGGATGATTTGGTTTGTACCTAGGGATGTCTGGTGGCCAAAAGCTGGCCAAGATGACCCATTTGTGCCAGGGCCTTGGGTGTGGGGCTGAGCTTTTTACTCACATGTTAGCTGACAGGTGTTTCTGGGAGCTGGGTAGACCGACCACGGCCACGGAGTGTCCTGGAGACGCAGGTGCAGGGTGGTAAGTGCTGACCTATACAGATAAAAGACAGCCAAGCAGAGCCAGTGAATGCCCCTGCTGGGCCTGCAGCAGACGAGCCTGAGCCAGCCGAGCCCCACCACCTTCCACTTGCTCTGGCATTTGTGGCTTTGTGTGGTGGGGGGTTGAAGAGATGAGCTCACAGCTTGCTGGAGCGATCAGGGAAGACTGCTAAGGTACAGGGTTGGAGGGAGGACTGTCCATTTCACAGGCAGGGAGCCACTGCCAGACTCCTCACTCCGCCCCCTGCCTCATCCTCCCCATCCTTCAGTGTGCTCCTCCCTTGGTGAAAACCTGCTTTTAGAAAATACTCTGGCTAAAACAGATTTAGAACTTGGTATTTGCCAGGCAGTTTTAAGTGAATTTAGTGTTCGTGAATTTAATCCTTAGTAAAAACAGCTTATTAATCTTCATCTTTGGATGAGAAACTGAGACATAGAGGGGAAGACAGGTCATCAAATTAAAAGTATCTATATGATAAAACAAAGTCTATACACATATCTGTGCTATTCTATGAGTATGTTATGCATATGAACTCTAGATTGTGCAGGTAAGCACAACTATATAGTTTGTACGTGTATTTGTACTGATTATACAAATGCATTTGTTTTTGCTCATGTATGTGTGAACTTTTGAATCTAATTATAGTATTAAAAAAATTCCTACTGGGTGTAGTGCATGCACCTATAATCGTAGCACTTGGGATGCTGAGGCAGGAGGACTGCCACAAGTTCAAGGTCAGTCTAGGCTACATAGCGAGCTCAAGGCCATCCTGAACTACACAATGAGATGCTGACTCAAAAAACAAAAACAAAGCAAACCCATTCCTTTCAGATAATAATGGATGTTTGAAAAAAGAGAGAATAGTTGAGACCCGCATACATTGATGTTAGAAATGTAAAATGGCTAAGCCCTTTGGAAACCAACTGGGTAGTTCTTCAAATGATTAAATAGAAGATTACCAGATGACCTAGTAAGTCTACTCCTAGTAGATATACCTAGGAGAAATACCTACTGTATGCCCAAGAGAGATTAAAAACATACAACCACACAAAGATTTGTATACTAATGTTTACAGAAGCATTAATCACAATAAATAACCAAAAGGCGGAAATAACTGAAATATGGATAAAGACAATGGTATATCCCCTTTCAGTGGAACATTGTTTAATCATAAAAGTGACACAGTGATACACAGGAGAACATAGATGAACCTAGAAAACACTATACTTAGTGAGCCAGGTGTGGTGGTGCACGCCTGTAATCCTCGCACTTGGGAGGCGGAGGCTAGAGGATTGTTGAGAGCTCGAGAACACCCTGAGCTACAAATTAAGCTCAAGACTTGCCAAAACTACATAGTGAGACCCTGTCTCCAAATAGTAAAGAAAAGCCATATACAAAAGATCATGTATTATATGATTCTATTGATGTGAAATATCCAGAATAGACAAATCTATAGAGATGGAAAATATATTTATATTTTCCAGGAGTTGAGGGAATAGGGGACAATAGGACTGAGAATGACAGTTTAGCAATAGCTAAGAGTACTGGGTTTCTTTTTGAAATGGTAAAATGTTCAAAATTTATGGTAATAATTAAATATGCAGTACCTGTGAGTATACAAAAATCCACCGAATTGTACACTTTGAAAAGGTGAACTGTATAGTAAGTGAGCTGCAGCTCAGCAAACCACTTATTAAAAAACAAACTGTTCCCAATATTTCACCTGGGGTACTCTGACACTACACAGTGTGCTTTGCACTTGGAAGTCAAATATTGTCACATTAGCGTCATCAGGCCAGGTGATGCCACCGGCCCTGGGAAATGTGTCCAGGGAGAGGCTTGTTGGATAAGTAAGTAATCTTAGGTTTGTGAAAGCTGTTGAGCCCCTGACTCAGCAAAGTCAGCTTCACTTCACACTGCTGGCTTTCCAATGCTAAGTTTCAGTAAAAGCTGCTGTATCCATAAATGCCATCAATCCTTCAGGAAGGAAGAAGGTGCCAAGTGACAAGCCATCGCTCCATTATGCCAGGTGCTATATTCTTATTTATCTGGGCTTTAATCTGGGGAGAACATTTTCCATCTGATTATGGCCTGGATGGAAATCTCTAGGCTTGTAATGGGGTAATTTATAATATAGGAATGGGAAAAGAAGTCAGATTATCAAGATTTGAGGTGTCCTAGAAAAGAAAGGGGAAGAGATATTCTTGAGGAGGAGAGAGGCAAAGAAGAAGTGGGGAAGGGGAAGATAGAGGAAGACTCTTAGAATAGCAGAGTTAAACCGAGGCAGACAGAATAGGAAAATAATAGATATAGAGAGAAGAAGGAAAGAGAAAGACAAAATTTGAGAAAATTCATATAATTCATTCATAACAGGAAAAACCCAAAAAAGAAGGAACAAAAGATACATGAAGTAAAATGTATTAAATGAAATATATGAAGAAATGCCCAATCTCAATAATTATTATGAAAGCTTAAAAAACAGATTTTGTGTTCATACCAATACAAAAATAGCTAAAATTAAAGAGACCAACCATACCAAGTGCTGATGAAAATGTAGCACTAGCGTTCTTATATACTTCTGTTGGGAATGAAAACTGGCACAACTATGTTGGAAAACAGACCAACCACTCATAAAGTTGAATATACGGTTACCACACTACTCAGCAATCTGCAGATTAGCACCTGAAAGAAGTGCAAATATATGCCCACACAAGGACGTGCATGTGAATGTTCATAGCAGCTATTCATTTTAGCCTTAAACTGGAAACACCTCAAAGGCGAATCTGCAGTGAATCAGATAAAACTATAACCACAGTGACATACTCCTCATCAACATACGCAACACGGATGAAACTTCATCATCCTTGGTAAGACACTGAACACAGAAGGCCACACGTTATGTGATACTGTTCATACAAAAGTCTAAGAAATAAGAAAAACTCAGAGCTATGGTGACAGAAAACAGATTCAGAGTTGCCTCGAGCCAAAAGAGGCAGAAAAGCTTTCCAAGGAGAGGCAAATGCTCTCTACTTTAATTTCGGTAGCGATGACATGCTGACTATATTTGCCAGAAGTCACTGAACTGTTTATTTGAAATGGAACTTTATTGTATGTAATTATACCCTGTTAAAGCAACAAAATGTAAATGCTGTACATTATGTGATTGGTGAGAAGCATTCAAGTGGCCTTAGCTTGACTCAGTTCAGGCTCTGCTGTTGGTCAGGAAGGGGATGTGATTGGCTTGATATAATAGTGGGGAACCATTGGGGTTCAATCCCCGGCGTGCTGTGCCAGTCCCAACCCTGTGGCATGCTGAGGCAAGGACTGAAACTGGGTGTGGTGGCATGCACTTGTAATCCCAGCATTTGGGAGGCTGAAAATTGGAAGATCACTACGAGTCCGATCTGTGTAGTGAGACCCTGTAGACCCTGTACTAAATACACCCCCCAAAAGTGGGGAGCTAGTATAGGGCTAGGGGGCTGTAGGTAGGGAAAGGATAGAATGGTGGCCACATGGAGCTTTGTTAGATGTTAATGGGCTGATTTACTAAGGGCAGCTAGAGGCAGCCACTGCCTTGGCAGATTAGGCTCAACCACTTAGAAAAAGGTGGCTAGACTCCAGCAGTCAGAAAGACCAACGCAATAAAAGCCTAACTCAGTGGGATACCTCTAGTGTGACCAACATAAACCCATTTGTGCTTGAACTACTCCTCCCTAAATCTCCCACCCATAATCTAGCCTTCACTAAACATCAGAAATGGTCATGTGACCAGAAGAAATTCAAGGGGAGGACTACAACAGAGCCAGTCAGATTCCGGGGGCCTACATGGACAAAGAACTCAATAAAAATGACCCACAAACAGGAATTCTTGAGTATTTCACTTTCTAATGCTCCCTACTCATCCAGGATAGCAATCTATCATCTCTCTTCTGCCTTTTTCTCCACCTTCAAATAAATTGTCTTCTCTTAAACTTGGTTTAGTTATTAACTCTGGGTTTTTGATCCCGAGAGCTCTGAGTTCCAGGAAAGCAGGGGCCTGGCAGTGCCTGTCCTGGCATGCTTACTCCTTCTTCCCTGACATTTCACTGGCCAGGGGACTTAATGGCAGGACACCTGAAGAGAAAAAATCAGAGGGGTAACCTGTGAGTCACAGAGTTCAACCAAGCAGACTAAGGTAGAAAGGAAGCCAGCCAGCAGCCAGCCAGCCAACCTGGGAGACAGGAAAGGAGAGCAGGAGATAAGCTGGGAAGACAGCAGGCAGAACGGGGCAGACGGGAAGGCCCCAGCTGGTACATGAAGACACTCGACAGGCTAAATTCCAGGAGGCAAGTCTGTTCCTGTCACAGCGATAGAAGACAGGAGGCCTAGCCTTCCTGACTGGTAGGTGGCTCCTTTCCTTGGGGTCACTTGTGACCTTAGATACCAGGGCACAGGGGTTTGTGAAACTAGTCAGGAGGTTTTCCAGCAACTGCTGCTTCCTGGCATAGAGTTTGCACCCTGAGATCAGAGAGTGAGTTTGATTTGAGAGAGGAGTAGGGTGAGCATTTCTGCTAAAAATCTAAGTACTTCTTGTCTTTTGAAGGAAATGACTCATTTAAAAGAAGTCTTTATCAGTTGGAGAAGAAAAATCCACTGCCGTATGGCCTCTGGGAATTTGCAGGTCTTCCTCAGTCACGTGTGAGGGAAGGCGGGACCTGGAGCCTGGTGCACACCTCTGGAAATGTTTTTTTTGTCCCCTGCTGCCTTCCTGGTAGCCACAAGGGCTCAGTGTCTACATCTCCCTCTCAAGTGGCTGGAAAGTGCTCAGGTCTTGGCTGCCACGTGATCCGGTAGTATTCCCAACAGGGTCATCAGCATTTGTGGCTGCCGGCTCCTGGCAGACAGGCCATAGTGAAGTCCTCAAAGAATCACCCAGAGAGAAAGAGGCAGGGGAGCTGCTGCAGAGCTTGGTAGCCCGAGCTCCACCAAGCACATGCTGTGGCTCTGGGAGC